CTGGCCAAGACACAATGGGAGACGGTGAAAGGGCACCCCTTGCACTCAGCACCTACTGTCTCATTACAGCAGATCTGTTTATAACAGAATGTTACAGGAGGTCATGTTTGCACTAAGCCCCTCAACTGGGGCCCCAACACACCAGACTGAACCTCAAAATGAAGTCATCTGTGCTACCAAGATATCAGCAAACTTCACCCGGCCTTCTAAGGCTCAGGATTAGAGAGATAACGGCCACAATTTCCAGATTTCACATTTGATCAGTATGACAGATGTCACATTCAATCAGTATGACAGATGTCACATTCAATCAGTATGACAGATTCCTTCTGCTCTAATCCTAATACAGAGAAATAACCTGAAATGATTTGGTGTGAAGCTAGTTGTCATTACTCTCTTGTTCTTGTGCCTTCCTTGTCTGACTTTACAGCAGTGGTTCTCCACTTGTGGGTCACAGTCCCTTTGGGAGGAGGGTCAAATGTCCCTTTCACGGGGGTCACATCTGAAAGACCTGATCTAAGACAAGATCTAAGACCATTGGAAAACACAGATGTTTACATTAAGATTAATAACAGCAGCAATTTTACAGTTATGAAAGAGCAATGAAAATAATGTTATGGCTGGGAGTCACCAGGACATGAAGAACTGTATTACAGGGCTGCAGTGTTAGGAAGGCCGAGAACCACTGCTTTATAAGGGTAGTAGGTTTGAAATTACTGATCTGCTTTGTTGGCTCTTGCTTCTGGGTTCTATTTTGTCCTTTAACTCTAGAAAGTCATGTAATAGCGAGAAGATGGGACCACATGACAGAAGGGCAAGCCAGAGAGGCAGCAGTCTGCAGCTACATCTGTATGCCTGACTCATACCTCAACAGACAGATTGGAACTGTGAGAGTATTGGTCCACCATATCAGAACCACCATGCAGGGGCAGGATGAGGGCAAAGGTGAGGTCAGTACACCGTGCCTCTTTTTACGTTTTATTTCATTGTTTTTTATTTCATTGTTCTACTGGAGACTCAGCCATTCGCTTCCAGAGATAATCAAAAGAAACAAACCACAAGGGCAGGCATGCCAAAACTGAGTTTTAACACTTCCCAATCCCCTGTCTACTCCCCCTTCCCCACACCCCCTCAATGTGCTTGCTTGGGAGACCAGAGAGAAAGGCTTTTCATCAAATTAAAATGTAAAATGCTTTCTTTTCTTTTTTTTTTTTTACTGCCTGGTGACCAGGGATATTCTGCTGACTCAGCAGTGAATAATCAGCTTTGACCTAAATAATAAAATAACTCACAGCACTCTGGTTGCACAAGCAGGTCCAAATCTGCAGTTCCTTCTTTCCCCTTGTCTTCTCCCCACCCCCTTCAGGCTCTGGGCAGGCAAGCGAGTTACATCAGGTTCTCACTGCCTCTCCACTCCCATCTGGCTTGTCCCAACTTCATTTCTCTTCAGAGATCTTCCAAAACTGGTCCCGCTACAGAACCAGGCCTGACCTCTTCTCCTCCCTCCCCCAGTAAACACTAGCCTTGGGCTTTGCCTCGATTGCCCACTCTCCTTCCTGGACCCTGCATTACAGATTGCTGCTCAGAGGGTGGCCTTTCTTCAAACCTCTCATGAGTCAGTAGAACCAGTCAGTCACCAGCCAAATGAGACAGTGGAAAGCAGAGCTTCCTGTGTAAGTGTCCTTCTGCTGCTGCTTCTCCCTAAAGCATGTTGAATGTGGGTGACTTCCGGCCTCCATCTCCAGTGTAGACGGAGACTATTTGACACAGCTGGCTCACCAGGCACCTGCTAAGAAGATGGGGTGCACTGGATGATAGGGGAGAGGTGAGACGAAGGAGTGCTGGAATAAAAGTCATAATAGCTGCCTGTCGTGGCACCTCACCCAAGGTGAACTCTGCCTTCAAGAACCCGAGGCAGGAGAATGACAGGATCAAAGCTAGATTACATAGTTAATTCAGGGGTGGCTTGGGCACAAGGCAGAGGGTGGAGTTGATCAGATGCGATGCTCCACACCTGTGATCTCAGCATGTGGAACCTAAGACAGGGGGGAAGGCTACACATTCAAGGTGATGAGGCCAGCCTGGTCAATACAGTGAGTTTCAAGATTGCCTGTTGTACATATTGCATTCAGGCCAGCCAAGGCTACATAGAAAAACCTTGTCTTCAGGAAGCAGAGGCAGGCAGATCTCTGAGCTGGAATCCAGCTTGGTCTACAGAGTTCCAGGACAGCCAGGGCTTCACAGAGAAACCCTGTCTTGAAAATCAAATTAGAACTGTGAGAGTATTGGTCCACCATATCAGAACCACCATGCAGGGGCAGGATGAGGGCAAAGATGAGGTCAGTTCACTGTGCCTCTTTTTATGTTTCATTTCATTGTTCTACTGGAGACTCAAACTGAACCAAACCAAATCAAACCAAACCAAACCAAACCAAACCAAACCAAACCAAAAAACACAAAAGAAAAGAAAAACTTTGTTTCAGAAGTTTCCCTGCCCCGAAGATGCCAGAGTTCGGAGCATAGCATCCACAAATCCTTTTCAACACAGGCTAACTTGAGAGACTATTTGAAGAAGGCTGTAGAGGTGGATTTTAAATAAAGTACTAGTAGGACAGGTGGAGCTTCTGATTCCAGCACCGGAGAAGCCGAGGCAGGAGGATTGCCACAAGTTTGAGGTCAGCCAGGGCTACATAGCAAATTCAAAGCTAACTTGGGCGACACAGCAAGACCCCCCATCTCTCAAAACAAAATGACATCCAACAAACCAGAAAACAGAACCTCTGTGCACAGACTCAAAACATCTGGGACCTGTCCTCCATCTCTGCTAGTCTCTAACGGAAGTAGGAGGAATAAATTTGGGTTTAACATTTTTGTGCTGGAATAATATCTAGAGACATACCTCAAGGACAGTGAAAAATGACTATTCTCAGAGGACAAAATAGGCTCTGTTCAGATGAAGACAATTTCCTTGCAGCTCCACTCAGGAGGCAGAGGACAGGCCACACCGACTTTATTAGATCTTTGACAACAGGAAAAGGAGGCAGTGTGGGGAGGAATGGGGTGTACTGTACACAGCCTGCTTCTCTGGAGCAGAAGAAGTCTTCTTACCATCGTGAAGGGCTGAGACCATTCTGGACTCTGTGGTGTGTGTGTGTGTGTGTGTTTGTGTGTGCGCGTGTGCGTGCGTGCTTGCATGCATATGACTCTCTACTCCAGCGTCTTTGTGCAAAGTAAAGGAATGGCATACTGTGGCCTGGCTCCTCTCCTAGGGGAGGACCACACAGCTGTGGAGCTTTGGATTTCTAGCAGAAGCTCAGAGGAGTCCTCTTGTCTGAGACTTTAGCAGCATCAGCAAAAAGGAGGAAGCTGCCTGTGTGCATAAGACCCCGAAACAGCAGCCGCCAGCACTTCCTTCTTCCTCCCGTTAGCGAGTCTGATGACAGAAACAGCAACTTTTCCTACATTCCCACGCTGTCCCAGCTCCAGATCCTGCTATGAAGCAAGGGCAAGGGGCCCATATACTCATATGCCCTAACTCCCCTCCAGGAGGACCCTGTGGTCAGAAAGCTCCGTGCTTCTAACAAACACCCTCCTGAGGCACACACAGCATTACAACTTAGGATCCCAATCTCACAAGGAGGCAGACAGCAACTCTACTAAGCAGTCAGAATGTGTGGGATAGAGTTGAGGGTGCTAGGAGACTGAATTTGGGGCACACGCTCCTTTACCTCTGAGCCTGTAAACAGGAGAGCCCAAACATGTGTGACTACTGCCCCAAACAAGGCTTTCAGCTTTATGCCTCTCCTTGCCTAGGTATGGGGTCTAGATCAGGGCCAGGGCCAACCTCCACTGCTAAACAAGATGCTCTTCCTAAGGTCTCAGATGCCTGTCCCGGGAGATTGTCTAGAGTGGTGTGTCCTTCCTCCCCCATCACATCAGCAAGACAGAAGGACAATGTCTGGACCTGGAAATGAACAGCAAGATTGGTCCCTACACTGTCAGAAGCTGTGGGAAGTGAAGCCCTGAGCCAACTCTGTAAGTGCATCCTCTAACACAAACAGGTGCTAGAGGAGTGTTTGAGTAAAGACACGGAGTAGCCCAGTCCATGGAGGTCAATGTTATTGGAGCTCACTTCTGGGAACGCCTAGACCACCCTGAGGAACCACTCTCTCAAGGATCACCTGATTCCGCCCAACAGCCATCTTCCCATCCTGAGTTTTCACTGCAGCTAATTAAATCCTAACCTTGTCCACATGGCTTTCCTCTGCTTAAAGCAAACAACAAAACAAAACAAGCTACCCAAGCCAGGCATGGTGGCACACACCTTTAATCCTGGTACTCAGGAGGCAGAAGCAGGCAGATCTGTCAGTCTGAGGCCAGCCTGATCTACATATTGAACTCTAGGAAAGCCATGGCTACATAGTGAAACCCTGTCTCAAACAAACAAACAAACAAACAAACAAACAAACAAACTCCAAATATTACCCACCTAGGCCATGGACAAGGGACAAACTGTCCTCCAACCCAGTTGAAAATGTCTGTAAGGTGGCAATTTCTAAGTTGTCACTACAACTGCCTGCCATGAGGTTATCAGGGACTCAGAAGCCCTGGACTCCATACGGGGTCTACCTCTTAGGGAAGTCACTTGCCCTTGGCTCTTGGTCTGATCTATCTTAGGAAGAGATGACATGGCCTAGCTTTCCTCATGAATTTGTCAAACCAGAAATCAGATAGCAAAGATGAAAGTGTAAAAGTAAAGAACCCTGGCATTGAAAGCTACTGCGTCTCCAAGGAGTTCTTTATGAATCTTGCTTGTATGTGATAGGATTTTACTATGTGCCTAGGCTGGCCTCCAGCTCAATATCCTTCTACCCTTTGCCTCCCAAGTTCTGGGATTACAGGCGAGAGGTAGGGGAAAGGAGAAAAGAAAAGATAAGGCAAGACGTGAAGGTCACCAGGAAGACTGAAAGAGGTTGAAGTGAGGGCCAGATGTCACTTACACAAGCAGATGGCTGCCAGGAGTCGCAGGCCGGACTCAGGGGGGAAGCAGGTAGGGAAGAGCGGCTGCAGCACATAGTTGGAGAAGGTGAGGGCGATGACAGCTTGGTTGGTAGGGTAGATCACCAGCACAGCAATCCATAGGCGCAGGAACCTGCAGGAAGAACAGGAAAATCACTGGCTGGCATGGTGGGGAGCCAGAGGCATCAGCAGAAAATCCAGGCAAGGAGCAGGGATGGGGGGAAGTCTTGGGCAAAGGAGCAAACATCAGTGGGTTAAAGGTACATTTCCCCTTTTGTTTTCAGAGATACTGAAGAGGCTTGCCCTACCCCAAATGAGACCCTAAGCCCTCTATAATGCTTGTGACATGGTGTCACAGCAAAGACCTACATACATTTCAACCTCCTAATGACACAAGTTCTGGTGTTTGGGCTTTCTCCTTTCTCCTTTAATCTTCTCTGCAACTTTAGCCCCCTATATCCAAGGGTGGAAAAATTAAATATGCAACCCCAGAATTCTGGTAGCAAGAACATGCTAAGGATGTGGCTACATGTGCAATTGCCAGAAAAGGCATCAAATAGGAATTTGCAGGAGAAGTGCCTTGCACACCTTTTGGTTCTTTAGTGATGGATGAGTTTCTCAGTCAGGGTTAGGGAAGCCAAGAAAACTCAAGGGCTTGATTCTGGAGGAGGCCATTATGCCTGGCAATGTAAAGAGTGTGGATGTTTCATCTCTAGGAAGTCACTCTTGTGTATCACAAAGCAGGGCTTTTTGTAATTGCTTTTCCTAGAATTCTGTGGTCCATGTTGTCATCTACTTTGCTTATAGAATCTTACCCATCAGGTTCAATATAGCAATAAGAATTGTAACCTGGAGTATCTACTGATTCTGAGTGGTGACACACTAGACACTAGAAACTCCTGTCCTCGGGCCTCTTGGATCTGACCTTTCTGTCCCAGATTTTTCCTTTTCCTTTACCAGTGGCACCAACCCATGGGCCACATGTTTCCCAGGATAGCCATGAGTACAACACAGTACATTTTTCAGACAACAATGTCATATTGGTATGTCACAAGGTTGGACACCCATGTTAGACCATTCAGGCCTCCAAATTTGCTCACCCAGCCAGTCCTCCGAAGATGTCCTTGACATAAGAGTAATCACCTCCAGATTTAGGGATGGTGACACCTAGCTCAGCATAGCAGAGGGCTCCTACGGCTGTGATGACACCCGTCACGATCCAGACAATGAGAGCAAGGCCCACAGAGCCGGCATTCTCCAGCACACCCTTTGGTGAGACAAAGATTCCAGAGCCGATGATGTTCCCTACACAAAGGCACAAAGACACAGTGAGGTCAGGGTGGCTGGTGTGTGCAGCTCCTTCATCTCTGGTCTGGTTCCTAAGTGTCTTAGAGAAGGTGGGTGTGGCCAGCAATGATTCTCACTAGGGTTTCTTCTCTGATCTGGTTCTAAAATGTCTCCCGATCTCTAGGTAGGTGTGTCCAGTAATAACTTTACCCTAGAGTAGGGTAAAGGGCAGAGAACTGACAAGGAGCTTACGAGTCTAGTTTACTCCTTAGAAAAGTTATCTAGGGTCAGATAACATCAGCAGAGGAAAACAAGTCTCAGGGAAGCAAGTGAATTGTGTGAGGCTAGCCAGTAATGACTGTTGGAGCAAATACTGAATCTCAGGGCACTCTGACTGGGCACACATGTTCTAGCTAAGGAAACAGGCTCTTAGAATTGGCTAAAAAGATAGGACTGGAAATGCACTCAGATTCCTAGACCCACCTGTCAACTAAAACGATTCAAAAAAGAGCCAAAGGGCAAATTCTTTTGGACAGATTGTAGCCACACACTGTGATGACTTGGGATGATGGGCTGGGTATAGTGATGCGTACTTGGAATCTCAACACTTGGGAAGCTGAGGCAGGAGGATCAGGAACCCCAGGCTAACCTGGGCTATACAGTGAGACCCTGACTTAAGACAAAAGAAAACACTTATGAGTGGAGACAACAGCCTTGGAAGCTGGTTTCTATGTGGACGAAACAGCCCCACCCTTGTTGGAGAACATGAAACAAACCTATAAAATGGTCACAGTTGTCTAGACATAGCTTGTGAGAGTACATTACGTGCAAAGCCTCAGCGCTATGTTCCTGAGACCTCCCTCTCTGTGGTGTCATATGACCCTCAGAATCACCTTGTAGAATTCAGGGAGGAGGGAGAAGAATGGGATTCCTCCTCTCCACTTTACTGACCAAGAGACTGGGGTTAAGTGGCTTTCTCTAAATTCCTCAGCTACTGATGGGTAAAATTGGATCTTGAAAGCTGTCTCCTGATGCTTAATCTGGTGTTCTTTCCACTAATCCATTTCTGCATGCTCAGGGGTTGGAGTCCTCTCAGAGAGAGGTCAACAGCCAGCACAGAAAGGGGCTCCTGGGTCATACACATTGGACAGGGCAGGAGGAGAGTAGGGACAGTCTCTGGCACACATCTTCCCAAACTGGCTTCATTTTTTTTCTATACTGAGGGTGGAAATGAGGTCCACAGGTGCTCTGAGGGCTTCCTCCTGCTGTTCCCAACTCTACTCAATGCCTGAGGGGAGAAGCAGAAACTAGCCAGATCTAGGTGAGAAGGCAAAACCAGAGAGCTTCCCTCAGCCCATGGGTTTGTCAACATTCCAGGAATTCACCTTTCTTGGGTAGTTTGGAATCAGTGAGATTAAGAAGTGTTAAGTCTGGGCTGGAGAGTTAGGGTCAGTGGTTAAGAGCATTTACTGCTCTTGCAGAAGACAGTGGCTCAATTCCAAGCACCAACATGGAACTTGGAACCATCTGGAACTCCAGTCCCAGGGAATCAGAAGCCCTCTTCTGATCTTTGAGGGCACTAGGCACACATGTGGTGCACATACGTACATGCAGGCAAAACACTAATTCACACAAAATAACAAAATAGATCTTAAAAAAAAACCCTTTCAAAGTATAAAGTTCTATGTTCCACCTTCCAAATCCAGCCAGAACTCCACCTCAATTCAGTTCTAAGATACTCAGTTCCAAGCCCCAATTCAACAGTTTTTATTTTATTTTAAATTTTTTTAATTAAAATTTTTTTTAAAGATGAGGTTGAACACTGAGTTAGTTGGCTAGCCTAAAACTTGATATACAGACTAGTAGGCTGTCCTTGGACTTACATCAGTCCAGCTATCTCTGCTTTCTGAGTGCCTGGATCCAGGTTTGTAACACTATGCCTGGCCCCAAAGTCTAATTTGCAATCCAGGGCCAGGCTTACGGTTATGAAGTAAAGGGGAAGAAAAGAATTCACATTGTAATCCGCTATTCCTCTCAGATGTAAAACTTGCCATTAGTTTTCAAACTAAAAAAAAAAAAAAACCTGTAATGTCAAGTACTCAGGATGCTGAGGCAGGACACACACACACAGACACACACACACACAGACACACACAGACACACACAGACACATACACACACACACACACACATACACACACTCTACCCATTCTTTTTTCAAACACATTTTCCTTCAGGAGATACATAGAGAAATAAAATCAAGGACAGAAATAGCTCCTCAATATCAAACTCAAATATAAATATCAGGTGGAGAAGAAGCAGACAAGAGGGCTCAGCTCTTATGGACAGTTCTTTCCTCCCCTTCCTTCTGTATACGCTCATGTGAAGTCTTTTCATAGGAGAAGACATGTTTGTCTGCATATACTCTCTATGACCTGCTCTCTTATGGAGACTAAAAGACTGTCACACAGTAACCTAGGGCCAAGGACATGGTCATATGACCCTTCAAGCTGGCCAGTGTGGCTCACACATATAATCCCAGCACTCAGTAGGCTGAGGCAGGAGAATTGCCTTGAGTCTGAGACTAGTTTTTGGTTTGAACCACAGCGTTCAACTCTGTCCCAAAATAAAACACAACCAGCAGTCACCAGCCCAAACAATGTGCTGCTGTTCCTTGGAAGACAGGAAGCTCTGGGAAATGCGAGCACTAGAGTCCGAGTAAATTTCTTGCCTATCTGGGGATTATCAAAAGAGTGATCTAAAGGGCATTTCATGGCCATCCAAGAAGAGAGTAATGGCACACAGCCTATGAAATCAGCTCCAGGGCTAGAAAAAGTCAAAGCCAGGACAAAAACAAAGGTTGACTTTGGTCTTAAGGTACTAAAAATGGATGTGGAAATGGCCAGGCATTTCTTGGAGCTGGGAATGGCAGTTCCAGTAGGAAGGTGGAGTGTGCTGTTAAAGGCTCTGCCCCTCAGGGATGAGGAGTTCAAACTCTACTAAGGGTTCTGGGCAGACAAACAGCTGTAAGGATCAACCACTACGTGAGTACGATGGCTGCCTTTGGGACACTGTCAGAGTACACACGGCACAGGGTCCCCTGGGAGATGAGGTATACAGTGCTAGTTGATCTTTGAGGGGGTCTGTGGCCCAGTTACTCCTTGGAGGAGACAAGTGGGGTATCATTACCCCCATTTTACCGTTGAAGAAACCGAGACTCCCAAGAGTATCATGGCTGTCTTAGCAGCATCAGGATCGGAGTCCTGCATCCCTTCTTCAAGACTGTTGTGCAAATAAGAGACTTTCCCACATACATGCTCCATCCTTCCACGATTCACTGGGCAGCTGTGAGAGTGGAGTGGTCTTGTAGAGAGCTGGAGGGCAGACTCAACATCCTCCTCTTGGGGCAGTCCTATCTGCAGTGGTGACTGTAAGCACGCTGCTAAGTGCCTTGATTCTCAGAACTGCTTTCTGAAAAATGCTAATAATCTGGTTTTCCCTGCATGGTCATTCTTATTTACTTCTGTGAAAGCTGAGGCTCAGAGAGAGAAAGAAACTTGGTCAAAGTCACATGCTGTGTAAGCAGCTCAGTCTGGTGGAGAAAGACCGAGTTCTCAGACTCCAGGCCCAGGATATCCTCCAGACTCCACGAGGCTTCTCCTCTGGCAACAACACCACACATTGCAGCTCCAAGGCCTTAAAATGTGTACGTTGTCCAAAGGAAGCTGTAAGGCAGGAGAACTAGGAAGAAGCCTTTCAAACTTGGAGTCTCTCTTGAAATAGAGGAAAGAAGTTGATGTCTCTGGTGATTTTTTTCCCCTTGTTTGACTCTTAGACCTGTTGTCCAGAGCAGTGGTTCTCAACCTTCCTAATGCTGTGACCCTTTAATACAGTTTATGTAGTGGTGACCCCCCAAACCATAAAATTATTTTTGGTGCTACTTCATAACTGTAATTTTGCTACTATTATGAATCATAATGCAAATACCTGTGTTTTCCAGTAGACACTGATACACTTGATACAACTACTGGGAAAGAGTCCTTGGACCACTAGAGAGATCCCAGCCCACAAGTTGAGAACCACTGGTCTAGAAGGTCATTTAGGAATGTGATGCATGCTGGGCCTGGTGGTGCACCCCTTTAATCCCAGCACTGAGGAGGCAGGGGCAGATGGAACTCTGAGTTCAGGGCCAGCCTAGTCTATAAAGCAAGTTCTAGGGACAGCCAGGGCTACACAGAGAAACCCTGCAAACCCTGTCTCAAAAACCAAAACAAACCAAAATGTACATGATGTTCATCTGCCCGATAGTGCCAAGGTGCCTTAGATCAGGATCTTAACCCTGTTTCCACCCACACTGGTTAACACTGCAATCATCGTTAGGTCTTTAGTGAAAGCTGGATTTTAGGATGCCTGGACAATGAGGCTAAGCTAAACTTGTTCTGTCAGAGAAAAGCCATGTAAACCATTTCAATAAAAAAGAGGCCAAGTTGTATCAGTGGGCAAGTCTTCATAGGCAAATGGCCAGAACGGAGAAAATGCTCATTTGCTGTATGTAATCACTAACTTCCTCATCCATGTGACCCCTATTCCGGCATTACTCACACTCAGGCTTGTTCACACTCGAATGCTGTAGCCCTCAAAGAATTTCCTAAGGAGAGAAATTACAGACTTGTAATGCCCAGCAGACTTAGATCCAAAAGACCTTGGCTTTCCTTACTCATGCAAGACTTCATGTCTAGCCACAGCTTCCTGCTGGGTATTAGAGGCAGAGGCCACCTCCCTCATGTGCAGAGAAGGCTGAAGAGAATGTGATTTGTACTTCTCCAATGGGCAAGCAAGTAGGAGAATATCAATGCCTTCAGACCTGAGGAACCGTGTGAAAGCAGGAGCCTGGGGTCAGGCTTTGATTCTTACCCCCAAACTGTGAGGTCCCCAGGTCCCTTCTTCTGTACACACTTTCCCACCAGGACTGCATAAACAGTTTCTTTGGAGGTAGGAGAAGTGGGCTAAGATGATGA